AACTTTAAATTCATACATAATGTTATTAACATATCTTTGAGTGCACGACTTCCTAGCTAATCTTTTTTTTTCTGTGAGTCAAGACGTCAAGTAGAGTTTAATATTTATTATTTAATATTCAAATATTATATTAATGACAGATTGTATAAACAGACACTAAACATTTTATGAATCAATTGTGATAGATGGTCTATTGAGTTAATATAATTATCCAACTCAGTTTATATATTTAAAATAGATTTATTTTGTGATTGTAAGTATATAATATTTGATCATTCACTATATTAAATCTTGACATGATTGTAAGCAAATTCCATTTACTGAGTTAATTATATTAAACTCTATCTGAGTACTATTTATGATACTTTAGCAATCCAATATTAATTATCTATTTATAATTTTGATAAAATTAATACATTAAATTAACTGTTTTTATTTAACTATATCTATTTGAATTTATCTGAATTCTTACAAGGATAGCAACAATACAATTTATGGTTTTTTTTTTTTTTAAATAATTTAAAAGTTAAAAATTAGGTATATATAATTATTCAATTTTTTTTTTAGCCAATTTAAGTAGCAATGTTGTCTTGTTTAAATTTATTATTTCCATCAATTGTTTTTTTTTTTTTCAAAGACCAGATGTACACCTAATAATTGTAACTAATTTGGAAGTAATTTGGTACAAATCTAAAACAATAACCACACCTGTTACCTTCAAGATTCAATTTCATTTTAATGTGTAATTAATTGAATCTACTCGGTTGTTACTATATTATTTGATAACTTGAATTCTTTTAATACTTAATGTTATTCATTGTGTATTACCTACCGTATTCTGTTATAATGTCACCGACAATGTTCAATTGTATATTTCAGTTTTGCATGAATAAAAAAATCACTGTAAGGCATGCCATTTTAATAACTTAGAATAAATGTTACAATTTTAAATTTAGCTATTAATTATATAACATAAGCTTTCCTTTTAATAGATGAGTGTTAAAGAAACTAGTGAAGGATTGGAACGTGCTATTGATCATATGTGTCGAAAAACTAGAGATTTGAGACGGCAATTACGTAAAGCTGTTGTAGATCACGTGTCTGACAGGTAAAATAAATCCAATGTAAATAAATAATATTTAATTTAGCTAATTAGTAATATATCCTTTTGTTTGTTTGTTAAACTACAGTTTTCTTGAAACCAGTGTTCCATTACTTGTTTTGATTGAAGCAGCACATTCAGGTGATGAAAAAGAAGTTGAAGAATGTGCTCTTGTATTCACTGAACATGCTAACAAACTTGTTGAAGTAAGTTATACAGTTAGTTAATTGTGTGTATGTATTACTCATTTAATTCTAATGGTTTTATTTTCAGGTTGCTAATCTTGCGTGTAGCATGTCGAACAATGAAGATGGCGTAAAAATGGTACGAACAGCTGCTGCACAAATTGAGAATTTATGTCCACAAGTCATAAACGCAGCTAGAGTACTTGCTGTTCGACCTCGCTCTAAATTGGCACTTGACAATATGGATGTATTTAGAGATGCATGGCAAGCACAAGTCAGATTACTGACTGAAGCTGTTGACGATATAACAACAATTGATGACTTTTTAGCTGTTTCGGGTATGGAATTACTGTTATTAATTTTTTTTTTTAAGTTTGTGTGCTCATTTTATTTTTCTATTTTAGAAAGTCATATCTTGGAAGATGTGAACAAATGTGTTCTTGCACTACAAGAAGGATCAGCTGATCCATTAGATAGAACTGCTGGAGCAATCAGAGGCCGTTCAGCTAGAGTTTGTAATGTAGTAGCTGCTGAAATGGATAATTATGAACCAGGAATATATACTGAGCGTGTGTTAGAAGCAATTAAAGTATTACGTGATCAAGGTAAATATCAATCTACTAATTATTAATCCATATCAATAAAAAATTAAATAATAAATAATTTTTGTTTGTTTAGTTATGCCTAACTTTGCTCAACGTGTTGAATTAGCGGTAGATGCTTTGTCAACCAATCCTCCTAAAGAAGTAGATGAAAATGATTTTATTGATGCTTCTAGACTTGTTTATGATGGTGTAAGAGAGATACGTAGAGCTGTTCTCATGAATAGGGTATACTATTAACTAAATTTTTGATGTAATAAAATATTATTAATAATTTTAATTTTACAGACTGATGAAGAATTAGACCCAGAAGATATAGAATTTGATGAACATTATACAATTGATACACGGAGTAGATGTAAGTGGTATAAATGTACTAAATAAATGTTTATGGTACATTTTTTTTTTAATTATATTTTTATATTTAGTTCATTCATAAAATGATGACTCTTTTTAATTAAAATATTTATAATACATTTTAAATAATTTTTAGCGAGTGCTCATACTGGAGAACCGTTGGATGAGTACCCAGATATTAGTGGAATTACTACAGCACGGGTATGTTGCGACAATATATTGTTTATATTTATTATTTAACAGTTATATTTTAAAATATATTTGGTTCATTTGTTAATTTATTTGTATTTATTAATGATGTACAATAGGAAGCTATGAGGAAAATGACAGAAGAAGATAAACAAAAAATTGCTCAACAAGTTGAATTCTTTAGGAGCGAAAAACTGAAGTTTGATCGTGAGGTAGCTAAATGGGATGATACAGGAAATGATATTATTGTTCTTGCCAAACACATGTGTATGATCATGATGGAAATGACAGATTTCACTCGGTATGTAAATAAAAATACTTTATTTTATAATTTAATATTCATTAGTTATAATTACGTGAACGTGATTTTTAACCCTTTAACTGCTCCACATGCAATTATGAAAACCCTCATTTGAAGTATTTTAATCTTAAATGATTTGATCATATTACAGACCATAGTGTAATAGACAAAAGGTTAAATAACATTAATTTTAATATTAAATTATAATTTTTAAGTGGACGTGGACCATTGAAAACTACTATGGATGTTATTAATGCTGCTAAGAAAATTTCAGAAGCAGGAACAAAATTAGATAAGCTTACTAGACAAATTGCTGATCAATGTCCAGAATCGTCAACCAAAAAAGATTTGTTAGCTTATTTACAACGTATTGCTTTATATTGTCATCAGTTAAACATCACTTCTAAAGTTAAAGCAGATGTTCAAAATATAAGTGGCGAGCTGATTGTTTCTGGGGTATATTTTTATTTTATTATAAAAGTATCTAATGAATTATTTTCACACAATTTAAAAAATAATAATTTTAGTTGGACAGTGCCACATCTCTAATTCAAGCTGCTAAAAATTTAATGAATGCTGTTGTTTTAACAGTGAAGTCTTCATATGTAGCCAGTACAAAATACCCTAGACAGGGAGCAGATCTTCAAAAGGTAATCATTTTATTTCTTGAAAAAGACAAAAGTTAATTGTTTATGTTAATTATTTCCATAGCTTGTTGTTTGGAAAATGAAAGCTCCTGAAAAGAAACCACTTGTAAGACCAGAAAAACCCGAAGAAGTTAGAGCTAAAGTGCGAAAGGGCTCTCAAAAGAAAGTACAAAATCCAATAAAAGCTTTAAGTGAATTCCAAAGTCCTACAGAATCTGTTTAAATTGTATAGTAATTACTAATTGCTATTAGGTGTTAGCTAATATCGATTTATAAAATAAGTATATTTACTTGTACGTTAATCAATAAAAGTAAATGCCAAATAATATTAGATTAATTAAAGGTAAAAACTATAAAACATTCTAATTTTTTATTTTTTATTTTATATACATGATTTTGTTGCCACAATATACTTGATTTGTTGGCTAAAAAGTCTTGGATACCCAATATAAATTTATTTTTGTTGTAACTATTAAAATCTACCAACAATTACTATAAAATTTTAATTGATATTTAGTTTGTTATTAATTATAGCATTTTATATTATAATAAACCTTTTTTATATTTTTCAAATTAGTTTCTCATTTACCAAATAGTAGGGTTAATTATATATTCTACAGTATTATTAATTATTATTTATACCGTCCTAGAAAAAATTTTTTTAGCATTAATAAAAAAATTTATACAAAAAATAAAATAACTATCAATTATGTTTTTTCAGTCTGGTAGACATTTTTATTTTCAGAATTTGTCTATTAGATCTTACGTAAAAGCTTAGCACATTTTTGATATCATCGTATTTTATTAAATTATGTACCATAATTATGTTTTTATTACAAAAATAAATACCTACCAACTATTGCTAACGTTTTGGTTATTGTCATTTTAGAATAGCCTTTACTCTCTATTTAAATCTTATAACCCCTTTATGCAGTAGAAGACCTTTCTGGTTCTCATTTTTTAATTTTTAACTAACTTGTATTTTAAAATAATACATCTGATCTACAATGTATTTTTGCACCATCAATCATCTTCAATTTTCAACTTAGAGAGTGGTTTAAGGTAGCAAACTATATCTAGTTGGTATTTTAAGCAGGTAAAAGCTAGGAAATTGTTCTGCTATATAGTCTAAGTCAAGTGTACCTCGTCATTGAGGTCGCTATGATGGATAAATTAAAATTGTGAGATCTGCCTTGCAACGAAGATATCAGTTGGCCCGGTGTTATTGAGCAAATATTTCAATAAATACAGTAGGTTAATTTTAGTTACCAAATCATATGGCAGTCATAAACTAAGAATATTTAGATACTGGTCTTACTGCTATTCTTAATAATAGATAAATTGTATACAGAATTTGAAAAAATATACCATTAGTATAGGCATTTACCAAATAATATAAACCATTCAAAATCAAAAATGAATAATGAAACAGTTTTATTGCATGTAATAACAACCGTAGGTCTAAGTATAATTTAGTTTGTCATTATTCAACTAATATCATTAAAACATATTTTAAAGATTTATGCTAAGATAACAAATATTAAATACTTAAATTCTGTTTTACATTAATGTATCATTACATTATATTAATACAAATTATAAAATTAATTGTTATTATATACCTAAACACTATTTTTAATTATTATTCAGTTTCTGGTACATTTATCTCGTTACATTATTTATTATTATAGATGGCAGCAAGAACAAATCTGAGTGGCTAGCTAGACTTTAAAGTTTTCATATGCATGACAGTGTGTAATGAACCAGTATCATACTTAATTCATTAAACACTAATTGTAAAAAATATGATTTACTTTCATCTTAAAATAAATAAATTATTTTAATAAAAATGAAATTGTTATTTTCCTAAATTAAAGCAACATTTGTATGTTAAGATTCACTATCTGTTTCATCAAAATATCCAGCTGATTGTAGTAATTTATTTTGTACTTTTACTTTTAATTCTCTTTTGATTGTGTCTGGTAACATCCCTATAATAATAATTGATGTTATGTAATTGCTTCATTAATTTATACACAAATTTTTTTAATATTTAAATATACTTCTAGCATCTGGGGCGATATCATTGAATAAATCGTCTTCAGTTATAGATTGAACTGTTTGTCCTTTAGATAAACGGTCCTTTAACTTTTCTTTGCATAATATTGTCACTTCATCCATCCAACCACTTTCAACCAGTCTTCGACATACTAATGACTTGAAACTATAATGTAATAGTTTAATTACTAAATAGAATACATTTGTTTTTTACTATTTAATATAAATTTAAATGCCTAAAACTAATTTTAATTAAARTGGCAGATGCACTAAAATATTGAATTGATATTAACTATTAAAGTTTGTTTATTTCACACAGCACATTTTTTCATTTGTTGACAAGTGAGTAGAATTTCATATACTAATATGCAGGGCTCTTAAGTTCATACATTTGCATATCAATCTTGCTAAGTTGTGTTTAATGCTAGATGACATTCTATTTTAAGAAACCACGGTTAACTATGTGAAGTCTTATGTTGTATGTTTTTGTATATTTGGAGGTCATTTGACTATTTTCCATATTTTGCATAATTTTGATATTCCTATTAATATTATTATATCAATATGCATTTGTCCTATGGAAATACTATGAAAGAACCAACAATGGATAATTCATGTTATATTTCAAAAAATGTTTATGATTTTTATAAGTGCATAATTTTAGATATTTAGTGCATACCTATAAATGCATATTTTTTAAACTTTTTAAGGCATATTTTGATAATTTTGAGTGCATAAATGCATGCTTATTTAGGAATTTTTTGGGCATGAACTTACAAGCCCTGTAAATATATAGAATATAGATAAAAGTATACTAAGTAATGTGAGTTTGCCAAAAATGATGTAATTTATTAAACTATAAACAGTGTAATGAATATGATCTGAAATGTTTTTATTTGTCAGTTTAATTTAAACAATGTGTTGATTCAATTAAATTATTTTAATTTTATGAGATTAAAAGTTAAATGAGTAACAACTACCTATGTAGCCACAGAAAAAATTAATTTGTTAAATTACATAGTTTCTGACAATCATCATTACTAACACCTAAACCAACTTTGTTAATAAATTATACACTCAAACAGATATGTACATAATGTTGTTATCAATAAAACTGTTATAATTACTTTTCTTCGTCTACAAACGTCACTTCGTTTTGTGACATAGTGCTGGTAGGTATATTGTTAACGAATAACAAATACCTAAGCATACGTTTAATGTTATATCTGCTTCAATTAAACATGTTACATCCAAACAAATTAGTTATTATTACTCGGCATAGGTACATACTATATTCTTATTGTTAATTTCTGTAGAATATGAATATTAGATATTCTACATTTTAATATGTCTATTAACCACAAGTTAATTTACTTGAAGTATTTTTTATATTAGGCGCGAACCATAATATTTGACAATTAATATAAAATTAAACGAATATTACGACAAACTTACAAGATCACAACAAAAAGAAAAATATAGAACAAAATGTTTGAAGTTGAAACATAAAAGAATAAACATAAAATTAAAATTTAATTCAATATGATATCTKAAAAGTTTTTTATGTTATCAATGAAAAACTGAAACAGACAGTAAGTTGTAGTGAGTGTTTAATGTGTTTACTGTTTTGTTGTATACTCTGATACTCAATACTCATCTAAAATATAGTTATAATAATATGATTAGAGATAAGGAGATCAAACTTCATATACATTGTCGTCTCGAAGTGATGATAATCGTGATGTGTTTGGACCATAGACATATAAAGATTATATGTCTATGGTTTGGAMCTCCATTCGGACTGAAAACGAGAAACGAGATGGTGGGCAGTCCGCTTTTGAGTGTCTAAATTCTAACACATGGACCGATAGAGAACGCCACATGTAAAATCGTTATATGTATATTATTTATATTAAAATTTTAAAATATAATACGCAGTGGCTAATCACAATTTAGTCATTTCAAAATTTCACATTAATTCATATTTCCTTGAAACATGTTTGATGTATAAATTTTAAAAAGTAATTTAGTTTTTAATTAAAATATTATCTTTAAAAACCACTCTAAAACAATTTTTTGCTCAAATGTAATAGAATGTAAATCCACGATAATTTTCTATTTTTATTCTGACGAATATATTTTGCAACTTACTAAAAAATGCATTAAAATATTTTAGAAGATTTTAAAGTTTAATGCAAGATCCGTCATAAGTTAGTAACCAATCATAAAGAAGAAAGTGCTTTTACGGGAAGTCAAATTAATTTTTAATGAGTACCTAAAGTTCAGATTTTAATTGAAACACGGCCTATGATTTTACCACAGTTAAGACGGGTTCTCAATTTCTCATTTTATGTATGCTAATATTTAGACATTTAGTCATGGTTCTTACTGTCTACTTCGTGTCGTGACAAATAATTTTTTTCGATTGGCTGAATCAGGACAGAATGACAGTGACTGGAGGTCAAGTAACCCTCTAACCCACAATAGTTAATGCACAGAACAATTTAGCTAATCAGTTAACTATACTCTGTCCAACGAGAGAACTCGCCGATTCTGCGCATCTCTCCGTGGCTCCATATCACCCTGCAAGTCCCTGCTATCGAAACTGGTTCCCTTATGGCCGAGCATCGCGTGAGGATACGTAGAAAAACTAAAATTTAGTGGGCTTGCGTTCTCTCGCTGGACAAAGTATAAAATAGGAGATGATCTAACCGAGATCCATGACAAAATTTGAAATACTGACCAATGACCATAAAGACTATGACCACAGATTATATAAATAATTATATTATAATAGGTACCTATAATAATATAACTATATTTTATATTATCTGTGCTAGCCTATGACTACTTTGGTTCTTTGGTAATTTGGTTATTCAGCATTTCAATTTTCAGCCATAAAATGCAACACAGCAGCAGCGCAGCTGTTACAACAGCAGCTGACCTGATGACATAATTTTTTTTTTTCACAGTGATAATGAGTTTTGTTATCAGTCTTAAGCGAAACCTGATAATCACAATATAGCTTATAATATACTAGGTACAACCACAGACTGTGGTACAACCTTAGATCATATACAATATCTATACATACATACATACATACATACATACATACATACATACTATTATCTAATGGTACAACTTAATAACTTATTCACTCTATGGTCAATTGTCAGTTACTCAGTTGGTCTACAGTCTATATTCTATAATTTATGTGATATTCTTGAAAATTAAAAAAAATATAAAATTTATCAGTAATCTGTTCTCACTATTCACTATTGTATACACACCATTTAGCAATTTGTTTTATTTAGTTTTTTATTTCTTTAGTCTGTAAATATTTTTTTTTAATAGTCACTGCCACAGTCATTGCTGTTTGGTTAGTGGTAAACTTAGGTGTTGCTGATTGAACTTGTACTTCTAAACATTTCTAAAACAGCTATTTTCAAATTGAAGACATGGAATTAAATCAAGAGCAGAGTAATACCATATCACCTAATGTAACTTCCAAAATTTCCGATTTTATAACTGCTGAACAAGTCACTTCTTTAGAACCTCCAATTAGTTCTAATGATATTCAGTTAGATAGGGAACAAAGTAATGAAGATTTTCCTTCTCAACCAGTGAATGAAGGTGAACCAAAAGAACAAACTTATCAAGATATATTAGGTTCTGGGGATTTATTGAAAAAAATCATTAAACAGGGAGCTCCAGATGAACGACCAATGAAAGGTGAACAAATTGTGATAAATTTAGTTGGTCGTCTAGAAGAAAATGATGATATTTTCGAAAAAGAAGAAAATTTTGAAATCACTCTGGGTGATTGTGAGGTAATATATTTAAAAAATAAAAAATAAATTCTTATAAATTATGATCTGTGTTCTATTTAGGTAATTCAAGGTGTTGATTTAGCTTTAAGTTTAATGAATGTAGGTGAAATAGCCGAGTTGAAAATAGCGTCACGATTTGGTTATGGTGAAAAGGGATTGAGTCCAAAGGTTCTGGGTGGAGCTAGATTAGTATATACTGTAGAACTAGTGACTGTAAAACCAGAAATACTTCCAGATGACCTTACTCCAAGTGAAAGACTTAATATTGGGTTTGTACATTTGTATCTAATTATTATTGAATTTAACTATCACAAAATTTACTTTTATATGTAGATTAGAAATAATACATTTTATAATATTGTTTTTAAAACTAGTTTAATTATATATTCAACAATTATTATTATTGCTATCTCATTAAAAAACATTGTTCTCCAAAATTCATTAACTTTAATAATAAACAATTAGTTATATACTTATACGAAAATAAAACAGAAGTCCATTATTTATAAAAAAAAAATGTCAATGAACCTATTAGATAAGATTATGATGCCTTTTATACAACTAAAAAATAATTATAAATATGTAACTCTTAAAGTACTAATATTAAGTTAGATACTGTTTGAAATTGTCCTGAAATTTAACATTTCGTAAAAGATTACTTTTTAATTATTTGTTAAAACGAAATATAACTAAAATTAATGGATAAAAAATATGCCATTTGTTTCATATTTTATTGCAAACAAAATAATAGTATGAGTTATATGCAACTTATTTAAGTTTAAAATAATCACAATATATGGTGTGAGGTTAGATTAGTTATATCTTATAGATATTATATAATAGATATTAGATATAAACCAGTTATATCACTGTTTTGGGGAGAAGAAACTATGCTACCATCTACCTATCTATTGTAGTATTGTTTATTATTTAAAATAATTTTCAAACTTATTATGTTTTGTTATAGGCTGAAAAAAAAAGATAAAGGAAATTGGTGGTATGCACGTAATGAAAACACTATGGCTTTACATGTGTATCGCAAAGCTCTTCAATATTTTGGCGGACCAGGAGATATAGTATGATAATATATTATTATTATTCGTTTAAGAATAATTTAAGAAATTAACTGAGATCCATTTATCACAATATTTTAATCATAACTTTTTATACATGTTTCAAACTTATTTACATATTAATGCTCCTAGACTTAAGGTAAGATTTCTACAAGGTAAATTATTAAAAATTCGAGAAAATGTTTGTAAGTATTTTTGAACTCTGTAGCAATTCTCAAAGTAGTAAGTGAATAAAAATGTAGAACAAGAATCTACAGGATTTGCTTCAATGCATGTCATAAATGTATAAACAATGGAATTAAAATGAGAAGAATCTAATGGTTATTCTGTGACATGCATGTGAGAATAAATAGTTAATAGAACAATAATCAAGAAAATAAAATAGGTATGCAATAAATAAAACTACTTGTATGTGGTAGGGAAAATAAAATCAGAGAGTATATAAAGCTGCAGGAAACCAAATAATAGACAAAATAGAGAAATAAGTAGAATTTACAATGATGGAAAAAAATAGTAAAACATATTTGTCTAGCCAAAATAGTTTTTTAACAGCTTATGAAACACTTAATTCAAAGAATATCAACCTAAAAACTAGAAAAACCAACTGAAGACTTAATATGAAGTATAATCTACAGCCTTATATGGGCAGAAGAACATAATACTAGAAATATTAAAAGTGTGATATTATAAGAATATTTTGAAGATAAGCTGGATGTACCAATAAAGAAGTACTTGAAAGAAAATCAAAATAAAAGCTAGTATGGAAAAATAAAGTAAGCGGAAGGACTGATTAGATATAATATATACAAATTTAGAGAAAAGTAGATAATAATGAATGGTGGAAAATTGCTGCAAACATTTTAAGCTACATAAAGAGATAATCCAGAAAAAGTAACCTATGGCCCTCCTCCTCCTACACACACACACCTATAAAAAAGATACATAATATTATATTAAATTAAACATAAAAATGAATCAAAACATTTAAATGCTATGTCTAATTCATTTAATTTACTTCTGTATAAAAACTAAGAAAGAAAAATATATTTTTTGAAATCATATGATTGTTGGAACTATATAATTCAATATCAATGTTTGTCTGTTTGTCATTCTATGTTAATTATGCCAAATATGTACGGTCATTCATACAAGATTAGTTATTTAATGTCTGATATTTTTAAAAAWTTTTTTAATTGCTTTTATATTATATACTGTAATACGTGTTTACAAATATAAATTTAAAATCACAAAATAATTACATTATTCATTAATTATTTTTAGATTGGATCAGATTCAGATCAAAAAGATATTCTTAGTGAACGTGTCAAGACATTAAACAACATGGCWGCTGTACACATGTCTATGAATAGTTTAGATTTAGCTTTAAGTACATTGGACAGTGTACTCACTGTTGAACCTAATAATGAAAAAGCAATTATGCGCAAGGGTAAAGTACTAGCTTTAAAAGGACAAAATATGGCAGCTGCTCGTGAGCTTGAAAAAGCATTACAAATAAATCCAAATAATAAAACAGTTCAAAGTATTCTCAGCAATGTTAAAGCTGCATTAGTCAAAGAAAGAGTGCAAGAAAGAGAATTGTATAAAAAAATGTTGGGACAAAAAGATGATAATATTGAAAAGTCAACAAAAGATGACAAAGATACGGTATAGTGTTCTATTATTTATAAACTTAATCTTTCAATAAGTTACCCATTAAAATACCTGTTTTAACAAATAACTTTGAAAAAATAATCGTCGATGAACATAGACATTTTTTAGACAGTAAATAAGCTATGTAAAATAATGTATGTTTATTATTTAATGTTAAATTCTTCTCCCAACAACCTATTTCTTACACTTGTTTATTTGTAAGTCAGTAAAAAAAAATGTGTGATTCTGTAGTCAAAAGTCTCTTCTTTGTAAATGCCTTAAATTTTATAATTGTTGACTTCATAATGCAACTTGATGTTTGGGAGAGGGGAATGTTTTTATTTTACTATATTTAGTACATTGTTAATAGAAATTAGTTAACTAAATTGGATTTGTGTCTTGTTTTAGAGTACAAAGTTTATAATCAGTGKGCTTGTGGCCGGATTAGCAGTAATTTGTGGATACTGTTATCTTAACAACAACTTTCCTTTCAGCAAATTGAATTCATTATAGTTTTTAAAATATATTTATTATTTCTTACATTCGACAATATAAACATTCTATACTATTCATCATGATTCTATTTGACTACAAATATCTTCAAATTTTATTTAAAAAATGTGTTTCAAGAAAAAAATTAGTTGCCAGCTAAAATATGTTATAAAGTGTATTGTTTTTATTCCTTTTTTTTTATGTTTTCCTGTATTTATACATATTAATTTACTATATTATTTTGATACTTTTTTGGTATGGTTGTTTTTGTATATATTTATTAAATAAATAATAAATATGTGATTTACTGTATTATATTATTTATTGAAACAGAAATATTTATACTTGTACATAGAGTAAAAAAAATATTGTCTTAGATTATGTTAGTACTCAATATACTTTATTTAATGAGGTTTTTTATTCAAAATGGACAGTTTTATTTCAAATTAACAAGTTTTTATCACTGTGTACCTCAAGATCTAGTGCAAAATGTATTATTTTATGATTATTGAAATTATATTTTGATATGCTACACAATCATGTTGCTCAGTGTAACTGTCCACTGTATAAATATAAGTTCGATGTTACTTAGAAATTGATTTGTTTAATGTAGCACTTAATCATGTTAAAGGCGCCATTAGCTCACTATTAATTCATTAAATGGTTTTATGGTTGTTTATGAATCCTGACATAATGATGTAAGTAAATTTAAAAAAAAAGCGGGTAAGTGGGTAACCCTCTGCTGTACATATTAGGGGGTGGGGTGGACCTCTGACTAGGGTAGGTTAAATTTGAATGCAATGATAVGTATCATTGTATACGAAAAACGATTCTGAACGGAGATGGTTTATCTGTCTAGGGTATATTATAGATTATTAAAAGTTTTCAAATCTTAGATTTAAAAAGAAATTTTTTTATGAATTTYTAGCTTAAAATAATTTGCGAATTTTCGTGATTTTTACGTATGTTGTCAAAATTTAAATTTGAATGCCTGTAAAAAAAATGTGCCTATGTATCTTTATAATTTTTTAACTACTATAAGAATAACTTATGAGAAACTTTGTATTAAAATTTCAAGTATTTTGATGGGACCAAAAAAGTTTTATCGATACTTAAAAAAAAATTGAAAATTTCAGTGGTCTGTAAATAACTCAAAAAAAGTCAAACAATTTTGAAAATTAAACTGTATATAGATATCACTAACATAAACATTTGGTGAAAATTTCAAGTATTTACAGTGATTAGTTTTTGAATACAACCATAAAAAAAATCGATAACTGTCTGATTTTAATATATTCAAAATATTAATATGGGCAGTGTTTTATATATTTTAGATCCTGAGCAGAGTTAATGTTTTTAGTATCTATACTACTTTAGTCATGAAAAATAAATTCTAACTTTTCTTACTTTATAGTTTCCTGTTTTCTTATTTTAACCAAAATCAATTGACTTTAAGTACTTGAGACTCTATTTTTTATAATTTTCTATATTCTATACATGATAAAATATTCGAAATGTTTTGAGTTAGTTATTACTAACATTCATTTAGGTAGTTTTTTATTATGTCAATTAATTATATTCTTTTGGACAAAAAGTTTGACAATTTAGTACTAGATTCGTTATAAGTTATTATTACAGTTAACATAAGTCATAAACTATGATATCTTAGTTCATGGCAGTTAATAAATATTAGAAATTAGAAATCCAATCCATAGAAACGACTTTTGTATAAAGTTCAATTGTTGATAAAATTTATCGTTATCTCAAAATTGAATAATAAACATTTTTTTTTTTTTAAAGTTAATAATTAAAAATAGAAATCCAAAATCCTTGTAGATTTTTTTCAGGGATTCTCTGTGAACTGTGGTCTGTGCATAGATGAGCATGGATATTATAATTTATAAGACAAATCATAAATATATAATTAGTATTATTATAATTATACTAAATTGTCAAACTTTTTGTCCCAAAGAATATAATTAATTAACATAATAAAAAACTGCCTTAATGATTATATTATAATTATAATTAATATATTATTAAAGGAAGTGGCTATTTCCGCGTCCGACGTGTATTTATATAGTCGTACGCTTATATGGTCGAAGGGTATCACAAATTTCACAATCACATACACAGATATGAAGGAGAAACCATAGACCTTATACTAGTATAAGGTCTATGGGAGAAACTAGTTTATCTACTCCGTGATCTGTGTCTTCAAAATATCAGCCAAGGAACCACAGAATAGATTAAATCGGAAGGGACACTTGCAATGTAAACAAAAATGTGGCGGCCATGTTCCGTTGGCTACTTTATCAATTTAGTGTTATCAGTTAAAAAACTGGCATCATAACTCATGATTTAATTCAAAACATTTACATTAAGATTATTAAAAATCTTAGCAAAAGCATTTGTTACACGTTTTTTAGTGTGTACTGCTTTTTAACTGCAGTTAAAACAAGCAGTACATGTTCTGTTGTGTACTGTCGTCAGTAATTTTTTGAATAATTCTGTGCATTAGAAGCATTATTATAATAATATGAATTATCTTTTTCCTTCTCAATCTATTTTCTTATTTTTAAACCATATCTAATCTTAATGTACCTTAACTATTCAACCTTGCTTTCAAACAATCGTGATCTATAAATTTCAAAACTACATTTTAGCTTCTAATAATTAAAACGTGTATTTTTTTCCAATATGTATTTAATATGAATACCTAGTTTAATCATATATTTGATTTATACCATGATAAAATAAATTATCATGATTTATACTAATCTTATGCAGTTGCTAATTTTAAAATTAAGAATTTTAAGCAATTAGTAAGTAATTTGAATAAAACTAGAGTTGGATCTATACATTTTTGGAAAAACATTGTATTTAACATTTTGTTTTTCTGATTCTTAAATTTAAGCTTTAGCCAACGGGAAGATGGCCGCCACGTTTTTGAGTATTGGCATTGATTATAGAATAGTCTATTCTATAATCAATGGGTATCTTTACCGTGTTAATTTTTATCAGTGTCCTGCCGTGGAACCATTTAATCTATTCTGTGGTGGAACTACTGACTAGCGTCATCTAGCGATTAAATGTATTTAACCGATATTTAGAAGAGTATAATATCCGTATATCGTGGGACATCCGATTCGGTATACGACCGTTGCAATAATACGTTTTGGATTGTTGAGTTTCCAGGTTAGGTAGCTATACCGTTAGACAGCGCCAGTCAGTTGTAGTTCCATAGCTTATTTGGAGACTCGGTTTGACGGTCTTGAAAAATGCATAATATCATAGGCCGATGTATACCTTTAATAGTGCTTGTAGGCCAGTTGTAGCTCGTCGTGAGAGTTACCGTGGTTTCTTATCATTCTTCTATATTGCCACAGCTAATCTACCAGTGACCAGTGACGTGTTCCTCCTTTTCAGTTTTCGGAAAGATTTTTCAGTTTCCATAATTTTTTGTAAAAAATTAATTCTATATTGCTAAACAAGCTAAACACTGTACAACGTATACATGCTAATGAAAAAGTAATGAAAATTAGCTCATTGACGTGTCGTTAAGGTAAATCTAAGATTTAGTACAGTTTTACTTATGTTAATTTATATCAAACAGCCCTTTAAAATAAACTTATAATTTTTTGTTTTCAAAATAACAGGAGATGTTTTTGGTGTTAATTAACATTAACAATTTTTTAGTATTTTATACTATATATAAATTACGTTACATTTTATATGAGTGTGTTTTATTTTAATTTATTTATTTTGATAATTTTAAAATCAATTGAAAAAACAGTCCTGTTGTAATTCACATATTTGAGCATATATAATTTAGTATAAATGCATCGAGTACCAGTTCTTGTATTTGCTAGTCTATAGATTCAATGTTTTTTGAAATGTTAAAAGAAATTAAACAAAATCACAAATTATTTTTAATCAATTGTTTGATAGCATTTAAATTACTTGTACTAATCTAGGCACATTTAGCAGTACTCACTTTAATCAGCCTATACTTAAGTACTTTGATAACTTAATATTTGTTCTAATTTTAGTAAACATGTCAACGTACGAAGAATTTATTGAGCAAAATGAAGAGCGTGACGGTGTCCGCTTGTCGTGGAATGTTTGGCCTGCTAGCAGATTAGAAGCAACCCGTCTTGTTGTACCAGTAGGTTGTCTTTATCAGCCATTAAAAGAAAGACCAGGTCAGTACATAGTTTACACTAAAATTGATCAATTTTTTTCTAACAATCTATTTATGCAAGAATAGATTTACCTCCAATACAGTATGATCCTGTACTATGTACTCGTAATACTTGTCGAGCTATTTTAAATCCATTATGCCAGGTGGATTATAGAGGAAAAATGTGGATATGTAATTTTTGTTTTCAATGTAATTCAGTAAGTATGACTACTATTGTCTCTGTTATCATTTAAATTTATAATAATTACTTATTTAAATTTATTTAGTTTCCTCCTCAATATGGAGCAATTTCAGATCAACACCAACCAGCTGAACTTATTCCAGCATTTTCTACCATTGAATACTCAATAACGGTAATGTTTTAAATATTTATTTTTGGATGATAGGTACAGATTTAGCTTTATAATATTTTTATTGAATTATCTACTTGATTTAGAGAGCTAAAACTATGCCACCTATATTTTTGTTTGTTGTGGATACTTGTATGGATGATGAAGAACTCGGCGCTCTTAAAGACTCTTTACAAATGTCTCTTAGTTTATTACCACCAAATGCTCTTGTTGGCTTAATTACATTTGGAAATGTTGTTCAGGTATGAAATATAGTATCTAATTGTAAAATGTATTTAATGGACTTAATGTTTATATCTATATGTCTATAAATAATAAATATTTCCATATTTTTATAGGTCCACGAATTAGGTTGTGAAGGTATTTCCAAGTCCTATGTGTTTAGAGGTACTAAAGACTTGCCACCAAAACAAATTCAAGATATATTAGGAATTGGAAAATATGCTGCTCCAAATGCACAGGCTGGTGTGCCTCAACAGCAAGCACAACAACAACAAGTTAATGTACCAGCAAACAGGTATTTTCTAGTAAAATCATTATTTTTACTTGTTCTGATGTAAATATTTACATAGATTTATACAACCGGTTCAAAACTGTGATGTAAATATGTCAGACTTATTAAATGAGCTTTTAAAAGATCCCTGGCCTGTTTCACAAGGAATGAGACCATTAAGGAGCACAGGAATGGCATTATCAATTGCTGTTAGCTTATTGGAGGTAATGGATTTTGACTAATTCAATTACAATATTTTGAAATATATAAAGTAATTTTTGTAGTCCACATATCCACAAACTGGTGCACGCATAATGCTGTTTGTCGGTGGAGCATGTTCCCAAGGCCCAGGTCATGTAGTTAATGATAAATTATCAGATACAATTCGTTCCCATGACCAAATAATGAAAGATAATGCTCCATATATGAAAAAAGCAACAAAGCATTATGATACCTTGGCAGTTCGTGCTGCAACCAATGGACATACAATTGATATATATGCGTGTGCTTTAGATCAAACTGGTTTGATGGAAATGAAGCAATGTTGCAATACAACTGGGTTTGTTATTACTATGAAATATTTTCATAAGAAATAAAAATTAATATTTCTATTTCTATTTTAATTTTAGTGGCCATATGGTAATGGGAGATTCATTCAATTCATCTTTATTCAAGCAAACTTTCCAGAGGGTATTAGCGCGTGATCATGAAAACAATTTGAAAATGGCATTTAATGCTACTTTAGAAGTAAAAACATCTAGAGAATTGAAAAGTAAGGTGTCTTTGTTAACTGCGTCTATATTACAATTCAAAATTGAAATTATTTTTTTTTTTTAGTTATGGGTGCAATAGGACCATGTGTATCATTAAACATCAAAAACCCATGTGTATCTGACTGTGACTTAGGTTTAGGTGGTACATGTCAATGGAAAATGTGTAGCTTGATGCCTAACACTACGTGTGCATTTTTCTTTGAGATTGTCAATCAAGTAAATAATTGCGAAACCCTATTAAATTCACATGTATAAAATGTATATAATATATTCTTATTTTCAGCATGGATCACCTATACCTCAGGGAGGACGTGGTTGCATTCAGTTTATTACTCAGTATCAGCATTCCAGTGGCTATAAACGAATTAGAGTCACCACATTAGCTAGAAAGTATGTAATTGTACAATATATAACTTTTTATTTTATGCTTATGAGTTTTGTTTTTTAGTTGGGCAGATCCTGTTCAGAACATGATGCATGTTAGTGCTGCATTTGATCAAGAGGCTTCTGCCGTTTTAATGGCTCGTATGGTAGTGAACCGTGCTGAAACTGAAGATAGTCCTGATGTTATGCGGTGGGCTGATCGTACGCTTATACGCTTGGTAATAAATTAATATACATTATTGTTTTTTAATTAGTTTTTATTGTTTTTCATGTTTTATACAGTGTCAGAAATTCGGTGATTATCAAAAAGATGATCCAAATAGTTTCCGATTGCCAGAAAACTTCAGTTTATATCCACAGTTCATGTATCATTTAAGAAGGTCTCAATTTCTACAAGTTTTTAACAATAGCCCCGATGAAACATCATATTATAGGTAAATTTTAATTTTAAAGGCACTACATTCATAAAGACGGTATACCCGCATGTGTTGTCTGTCTTACAAGTGTGTAACTTAACAAATTTAATTTTCAGCAAATCACGTTTAGTTCCATTAGTTATAGCTTAACAATTAGAGTTAATTGACTTATCATAAAATTTATAGATAAGATTATTATTTTGACAACCTCTTGAGTCATGAATTTTTTACTATATTTTAATTTTGAATCAAGATATAAGTATACAAATAATATACTTTTTTTAAATACCTATAACTTGCTTTAAAATTAAAATATATTATAAAGCTCTTGAGGTTGTCTAAATAATAATCTTACTTAAAGATTTTATCAGTGAATTCAATCTAATTTATAAATTTTTAGTGCTAAAAATTATCTATTTTGCAAAAAATTTGTAATGTTACACACTTGTAAAACAGCAGCATACACGTGGGTATAACGTCCTCTTGAAAAACTATCCATAAGTAATAATTGTATGTTTCTATTTTAGACACATGTTGATGCGCGAAGATGTTACACAAAGTTTAATCATGATACAACCAATTCTTTATAGTTATAGTTTTAATGGTAGGCCAGAACCTGTACTTTTGGATACTAGCAGTATTCAACCTGACAAAATATTATTGATGGACACATTTTTCCATATTTTGATATTCCACGGAGAAGTGAGTTAAAATATATATAATTATATTTAATAAAAATATCTTGTCACATTTGGCGTTGTACAGTCCTTTATGAAAATTATATTTGGAAAAAAAATAATTATTTATATTTTAGACTATTGCTCAATGGAGAGCAATGGATTATCAAAATAGGCCAGAGTATAGTAACTTCAAACAGTTGCTTCAAGCCCCTGTTGATGATGCTCAAGAAATTCTTAAAACTCGATTCCCAATGCCTCGGTATATTGACACTGAACAAGGTGGTAGTCAGGTAAGTTTTATGAATAATTTTAGTATCTCAAWCATTTTGATACCGATTAATTTTTTTTTTTTAGGCAAGATTTTTACTATGCAAAGTTAACCCATCTCAAACACATAATAATATGTATGCTTATGGAGGTGTAAGTATTGAATTAATTTTTTATTTGTATTTTATAGATTTAAATTTTAAAGTCAATTTTTAATTTCAGGATGGTGGAGCACCAGTTTTGACAGATGATGTAAGCTTACAACTATTTATGGAACATTTGAAAAAGCTAGCTGTTTCGTCCAATGCATAGAAAGTATTTTTATTCTTATGTCCTGTTATTATTATTTTTTTATTATAATTATTGATACATTCATTTAATACTTGAAAATTAGATAATTTTTCAAAATGTTTTGTAAACATTTATAATTTTTTGTGTTGAAATCAATTATCTTTTCTTTGTTGGAGAAATTATTTAAGAGAAATTTGTAAATTATATTATTATATATAAAAATATTATATTATATTCAAAATTTTTTTGCACAAATCTACTCTATTAGTAATAAAAGAATAAAAATTAATTAAAATATTAGTCTTTGGATTGAAATATTAAATCTCATGCTGTGTACCTAAAACAATTAATAAAATAAAAATAACATAATATGAACGGAATGATCTATTGACAACAGGCATGTTTGATTAGTTTAAGAATCTAATTGACATTTTATGTTCAATATCAGACTTTTCGAATGTTTTACAGAATTCGTCAAATGAAATAAAACCATCCTCATCTACATCTGCCTCAGATATTGTCTTATCTGCAATTATAGACAACTGTTCTTCGCTAATAAAAAAAAAAAAAAAAATACAATTTTAAAATGTGAAATAAAACCATTTAAGCATACAAATTATTAAGAAATTTACCTTATATTAGCACCAACCATCATGTGTAAAATAACCAATAGCTCATCCTTTGATATCAATCCATCATTATCAACATCATACATATCAAAGGCAACTAAAATTATATTGATGTTATTTAAATAAAAATTCTGCTCTACAAGACAAGTTTATTGGTAACTAATAATTATCATTACATTTTATTTTCTCCATTCGATTGTTTTGTTTGTTTGGTTTATTTGGTCGAATTGGTCTAAATTTAGACAGCGCTCTCATGAATTGTAAGAAATTAATACGATCACAATTATTCCCAAAGTCTGCGTGGAATAAATCAACGATTCTTTCTCCTAAAGGATTTATCGCCAAMTCTGGAATACGCAGTAGATCTTCCCTACTGAGTGTACCTAAATCGCCTCTATCCAAACTGGTAAACCTACTGTAGAGACGCTCTATTTGATTTGCAGTGACTGTAAAATATAATTTCATTAAAATTAGTTTCATGATTTAGATCAGATTTTAAATTTGACTTAATCGTGAATTTGAAGCTTGCCATACATTCAATATATCAGAACTGGGAAATATAATTAAAAACTAATGGTAATATTTATCTTGTAAATTAATATCAAATTAATACTTTTTTTTTCACTAGAATTTGAGTGTCATTAACCTATATTTCCATTATCACTAACAAATTAAAAGTTAGTTTGTCAATGTCAAACTAGCTTTCAGTTTTAATGTGGATAATATTATTAAAAATAAATTTATATGATTTAAAAGGAAACATTAAGTTCAAATTCAAGGAAATATTGATTAATGTCAACAATTCTACATAGATCGAGAAATACATAAAATTTAAAATGAACAAGCTTAGTTAATTTAATAAAATCATATGCATATCTGTCAACTTAATACTTACATCCAGTTTCATTTCTGATTTGAGCAATTTCTTCTTTACGCAACAGTAACGATGATCGGTTACCCATTTTCAAAATAAATATGAATTGTAAATTATTGAGAAAATAAAATATCTATGAATTTCATATCCTTGACCTTAAAATAACACAAATTCAAAAACCATTACATGTTAAATAGTGTATGGTTGCAGTGTTTGCCGTTTGGTACTTTGATCTTACCTACAATTAGACACTAGCTGTTATCTTAATTGCCTATCCCATAATTATTAATTATCACTATTACAATAGGACGTGGGTCTATCACAGACACAGATATATAAAAATATTGTTATATATCTGTGATCACAGAATAGATTGAGGAGCCTGCAGTTTAGCCAATCCTGATATAAATTATAAGGACATCTATGCGATAATCGAACATTTTATTTTTCTCCATGCAAATTTGTATCAAATTTAAAAAACCGCATAGATCAGTGATAATCTGATAAGACGGATTTCCTATTTCAGTTAATTTAATTCTATCATAGATGCATATTATAGATGAGTATCAAGTTCGATTAATTAATATTTAATACATTATTTTCTATTTAGTATTTACACTTCACGTAATCACGTTATTAACATTATTAATGTGAATAGCTTAATCTTTAAGATGACTGATGATTGTACCATTGATGTCAAAAATAACTTTAACCATCTGATTACCGAAGAAAAGAACAAACACACTGTGTATTGCACAAAATGCCCATCCAAGATTTTGTCATCTACAATGGGAAAGCATTTAAGAATCGAAGTAATTTTTCATGATGTAAAATTACAATTTAGTAAATTTTATATTTATTTTTATATTTTAGTTCAATCTTCCACACATGTCTCAGAAAAAAAACTGCGAGTCTGTTGAATGTGAACTGTTGGCAGATTACTGGATGGTTCCAGATATGTATATGTTTGATAATATTGGATTCTCAAAGACTGTTGAATCCGGCATTAAATATCTTATATGTGCTGACTGTGAAATCGGACCAATTGGATGGTACGATGATAACACTAAGCAATCTTATGTAGCACTGTCCAGAGTCAAGCACGCTGAAGATTCATGATCTTTAATTAAATTGTAAATACTTGAAACATTCTAATTTTATTATATTATATTTATAGTTTTATAGTAAAACTAAAATATATTTTTTTTAATTAATTATAGTTATGATACATTTTTATTGTTTATTCATTAAACAGTATTCATGTCATTTATTCTAATTTATATTAATTTTTTTTTATGTATGTGTGTGTGTGCAGTTAATTGACCAAAATTCTTTGTCAATTATTGAACTCTTGCATACAACATTATCCACAAATCACAGTAGTCAACAGTATATTAATCATAATGTGATTTCAACATTATCTCATGTATAACTAAAATAAATTATTTTATACTCCTATACAACAAGATTTGATGGTTACCTATAATTTAGATTTAAACTAATCATATTAAGTGATCACCATAGTAAATATTATATGTAATTAAGTTACAAAAAATTAAGAATTTCGCACATTGAATACAGAATTTGACATCGGGTACTTACTCTTGTCCTGCTCTTATACACTTCTGTGCAAGAATTAGGAAATCAGACCTTCAGAAAACCATTATAATCAGTCGTATAAAACTGAATTAGACATATTATAGAATATAACGCAAAATGAAAGATATATTGGTTTTACAATAATTTTTATTTATAATAAGTATTTCTGCAAATAGTTTGCAAAAAAAAATTAAAAAGATTGGCGTAGCCTTACAACCTGCATAACTGTCAACTAGAATAAATTTGTATAAAATAATTAAGACATTTTGAAGAAAGCTCTCATACTTTCCCAAATTTCGGGGATCATAATTTGAAGATATTGATAAAAATGTGGTCTTTGTTCATATTATGAGTATTTTTATTATTTCTCCCAAGTTGAAGTAACAATTTTTTTTTTTTTTTATGGGAAAATATACCATCAATATGGTGATTTAACCATATATCTAATATATTAGTAGGTATTCTGTTATAAACAATACAAAATGTAAATTACAATTAACATTTTTATAAGAGATAAATAACTATAGAAAAGTTAATATCCATTATAATTTACATTTACAGGTCTTAAACTTGGCAATAAGTATATCTCAAGTAAACATTTTGTTTATTAAATTTTGAATATTTTTTAAATATTATATCAAATAACCATTATAATTTATTCAGAGCTTTGATCTTGATTTAAAGTACTACTTATTTTTCCAAGTTCAAAACTGTTTGAATTTTATGATAATTATATTAGTAAATTCAGCAACCCCTACACATTGAGCAGGCCTAATATAGTACAACACTAGTAGACAACTTTGCGAGTACATYCCTTGCGGTAATGCTGTAAGTAATGAAAATTGAAACACCATATTATATTTTAAACCTTATAATTTTATAAAAATATACACAAATTAAGTAAACCAAATATACATGGAAATAATAGTTGATATATATATTTTTTTTGTATATACTTCCATTATACACCTTAATATGTTGTCAATTTTATATTGTCATTCCTTTGCAATGCACTATAAAAAAATGAATGATTATTAACTAAATTCAATAAAAATATGAAAATTTACTCACCAATAAATTCTGAGACTGGATCATTTTCTCCGTCACATCTCATTGTACCAGTTATTTCTTCATTCTCAACAATTGGTAAAAATAAATCAACAAATTCAACTGAATAAGGGGGAGAAACTGCTTCTAAAGCCTACTCGAAAAAAAAAAAATCATAAAAATAAAATATAATTTCTACAATGTATAAGTAATTATTTACTTCTGTAACAAAATAACGTATTAAAGAAATATCAGTATCTCCTCTATGCCAACATTGTTCAATATATTTTATAACTGGAACAACACAACCACAACACAACAGGTTCACCATACGGTCAAGAAGCATCTTTTTCATCTCCAACTAAAACAACAATTGTTTGATTGAAATGATTCTATACTAACTTTAATTAATTTTAATGTAAATAATAAATATGAACAAAACAAAATGGTACTGGTCTAGTAGACGCCCACCAAGAAAGTATTACCTAAACACTAATGCTTAGTTTACGCCCTACGTTTACATCTCTAAAATTTTTAACATTCTAATCATTTGTTATAAAATGTATATACTGCAGATAAAAAAAGGTTCAGTTCTATAATATTTTCAGTATAATAATATAATAATAATATAATATTATAATATTATAATATTTTAGTGATGATGATTGATTAACTGAGATAGGTATTCAATAATATTTTAAACAGTACCCAATGTTAAATCTATATTTTATCATTAACTTTACTGCACAGATTTTACAAAACATTATTCCTAATATATCTAATAAGTTAATTCCTCATGAATACCTAACAACCTAACATACTTAATTTTTTTACGTTTAACATTTGCATTTTATAAATGTTATTAATAATGATTAGAAAACGAGAGATGTAATTGGCGGACGTGAACTAAACCTGAATGGCGGAGGTTAACCGGACCAATAACAAATAATTATTGAGCTATTTTATGAAATGAAGAAACTCATTTTGATTATTTATTTATTTAACTTACGTGCACTAGAATTTCTAGTTCATCCTGTTTAGATTCAAAAAGAGAGACAAATAATTTTAATATGATATTATGCAGTTGAGGATGGCATGTAACAACTTCATCTAAGAGTGCTAAGTGTGTTGGTGTATGTTCAGTACATAACTTAAAGAAACTTGGTTCTGTCACAGTACTTTCAACCCAACATATTAAACCGACAGCAACAGCAGGATATCTACATAAAAACAATGGAAATTTTTACAATTCTAAAATTGCAATAACACTGAATAGTTGTCGCGTATACTATAATCTATAATAGAATATGTCAGTTTTACGCTTGTTGAACTCCACAACTCTCCCATCAACGTTCACATATGAAGATAAGTCTATACCTACTGAAATGTTGTGGGCTATGTTTTCTCATTGAATAAATGTAATGGATTTCTTAACTAATACTAAAGTTTGTTGTATTTATCATAGTGTAATTATTATCCTAGAATAAACAAATACCTGATGCAGTGATAAATAGTGGCAACTTCAGCAATTAATTCTGTTGAACTTTTGTTCAAATTACATATACTATGAACTTTATCAACAGCTTGTATTGTAKATTTTAAATCATCCTTATTAATAACTTTCCTTTTTTTACCAGATGTAACTTCATACACACTTGCAGAATAAGCATAAAGATATATGTACTTGGGTTTGTATTCCGGATTTAATTTCATTCCTGGCTTAAATAAAGCCTGAACTAATAATTCTGAAAAATATATATACTTGATTGATAAAAATAAATAAAATAATTAATAATGCATTTAATAATTAAAGCTAAACTAACCAAGAAATTGTGGTATTCTGAGTAAACTGACGGGAGGAGAATCTGATGATGAATAATGTTTATGTAATACGTTTATATCAGCAGGATTTAAGGCATTTCGTGATAACATAGAACTTAAAGCTGCACAAGGCTGGTCATACGGAGCAGCGCCATTTAATGCCATAGTAATAGGAGTCACATCATTTCTTAACAAAACCAAATTCAGATACAAATTTTAATTTAATAATTTTTAAATTAATATATACCTCTCTTGGGCACAGCGAGTTATTTCTTGAGAAAATCTCTTCATATTAACTCCACCATTAGTTTCCTTAGCTAAAACTTGAAGAGCAACTAATGTAAAAACATATGTGTGTTGGCTATGGCATACCATTTTCTAAAGAAAAAACAAAATATTATCCATATAATATAGTAAATACACTATTATTACAAACACCAAACATAGATGCCTAAATATTTCGTCAAATAATAATAAACTATASATTTTATAATGAAAGGTATTCTAAATATTTTTTTTCTTGAACTAATACATATACTTTGATTTAAGATATTGAATAAAATAGAAAGTCACGAGTTCGTGCTTTTTTTCTGTCTTTATTTATTATATCATTTTTTTTTTTTTTTATTAATAATACCCTCGGCAACATGGGCCATTGGGTTTAAAGTGAGAAATATATATAAAAAAAAATTACATGAATTATATCTATATCTAAAGTTATTATATCATTATTTAAATGTTTAAATTTACAAATAAAATATTATTATTATTATTAGAACAAGACCCACTGTTTACCTGATCAGTAAACAATTCTAATACAATTTCTGGATATAGTTTTAATGAAAAAGTATTATTTATAACAATATGGCATTGGCCATTGATAGTGTAACTTACAGCACACTCTTGTATTGTATTTTGACGATTTTCACTAGATGTTTTTATGGATTCTGTAATAAAATTTTTTAATATTCGGGAATATACTTCAATTTGTTGAGAAGCTGTAGATATACTTGTTATTTCACCTTGATATCCAGCATCTGATATCAACTATTAATAAACAAAATACGAATAATATTAAGCTAATATCAAAAAACTAGAGGTAATTTAAATATAATATTTAAAAACAGTAAGTGCTGGTAATTATCAACAATATCTGTGAACCAAGGTAAAAATTATTGATATTCTAAAATAATTTATAGTAAATTCTATATTATGGATGAATTGTTAATAAATAATTAGATAGATAATAACATTTTTTTAGGCAAAAATAGTAGCCAAACACAATGCACACTCTCATCAGTTTGAACTGCCCCTTTTTTTTAATAGAAGGTAACAAAAATCACTTCATAGTATAATATTCCTATAGTCAAAAACAGTCTCTGCCATCAAAAAAGAATAGGCAATGGTAATATAAAACTTTAATCGTAATAATAATGATAAAAAGTAGAATTTTGAATAAAATTAACTAAGTATGTTTACACATACCAATTTTTTCATAGCAATAAAAAAATGAAATCGCTAGTAAAATTTAATGCACCATTACATTACTTAAAATACTAGATAAATTAAAAAAATTATTACAGTAATAGATAGTTAATACTTAATACCTTAATTGTAAAATTAAGCATCAGACAATCAGGATATTCTTCTGCTAATCTATAAATTAATGATCTCCATATTTTGTGTTCAATCATTTCTGTTAACCAAGCTGGAGTCTATTGATTACAACACATATTTAAAATGATTAATACTTATTTAAATAATAAGTTATACCAATAATAAATAATAAATAATAAATAATAAAAATTGACATACTTCTCCCTCTTCACTAAATATTGTATCTGCTTTTTTTGGATCAAATGTTTTTAATACCATATCTTTGAGATGATTTTCAACGAAGGATTGAACTTCACCAACCGCAACACCTTATTAAATATTTTTATTTTAAACGTGCATTAATAATTAAAAAACCAAGCTAAAAAGAAAATAATATTTTTTTGAACAAAATATGAATTTTGTATAAGTTAATCAAAATTAGTATACTTACTAAAGTGATAAATATTAAACATAGTATATTATTACCTCCTAGAATTAGCCATTCAGCAACCATATTTGCCATCTGAGCAACACCAATATAATTCTTTGATAACAATTCTATAACATGCTCAGGAGTTCCACCCACTTGAAAATACCTATACGGTAATAAAAAATGCATTATTTAATTATAAATCATTAGATTATTATTTTTAAACAAAAAATAAATCAACATTAAATTTGAGCAGAAACACTTCACAATGAACTAATCAAGTACATAACTTTCTTAGAAGATTATAGGAAAAGAAGTATATATTTTAGTCATTTTTTTACTACACATTAGTATACCTTTATAATTTCATATTTACACATTAAATACTTTTAATACACTAACACAAATTACACATTTGTATAATGGAGGCAACATGTGAGTGAGATAACCTCTTAGGCCAAAAAAACAAAAATAATAGAATTAAAAAGTGTTTATAATTTTTAAGAAGTAAAATATATAGAAGTAAGCATAATATTTTATTTAATATACCTATTTTCACTTTTGTACCTAATATTCTTCAAACTATTGTTTTCAATACATACCTATTGTATTTTCTGATTTTATAATAATTATGGACATGGTTTACTACAGATATATAGATATGAACTAAGTTTATTATAGCAGACAAATCATCTATATTATTGAGTAATAATTATAAGACAAAAAAGATTACCTTTTAAGCTGTGAAAATATTCCTGGTTCCATGATATAATCAGCACTACTAAATTTCTCTAAGCATTGAGTTAAAGTTTCTTGTGGATTTTCTAATATGTCGTCATTGTCATCAGCCTAAACAAGAGTAGGTACAACACAACAATTAAGAATAATTAAAAAAGTAATAGACATTTTAAATAAATATAATTTTAAATTTATTAAAAAATTGTACAAATATATTAAAACATGTAAATAAACATATAAATTAAAAAATGTAATCATAACATTGGCGATTATTTATATATTTTTACAAGACTAACCTCTACATCAACGTCACCGTCCCAGCGACGATATTCATCATAGTCGTCTTCCATTTTGCTTAAATGAGCAAGTACTGATTTTAAATAKACCAAAGTATCTACACCTCAGTCACAATTGATAAAAACTAGAATATTTAGTAAAAATAAACAATTTTTTAAACGCCTACTTTAGGTTAAACAATTATTAGTGTTAATGTATTAACATTAATTATTTAAGACTTTAAAATGTTATAATTTATAACTTATAAACATTTAACATAAACACACTAGACAAGACTACACACATCACTATAATTCACCATCTATACTTATAGTCTATGCAAATGCAAAATACAAATAACAATCTAAAAAGTTTAAAAATTAAAAAACAATTATTGTTCTTTGATGGCACTAAACCGAAAATTTGATAACACATATCAAACATTTGAGTTTTGTTTATACAGTCTGTTGTAGGCTTGTAGCACAGAATAGATGAAATGGTTGTAGTTCACGGATAAAATTAGTGCAGTAGTGGGGGTAATAACCAAATACGAATATTATGTTATAATTTATAATATTTAAATATTTAATATTATAAATGTACGTCAACCTGTCGTGTATATACTGTATACTATAGTTTTTCGTTGATAAATGATAGAAAATCTATACTTGTGAGTTGTAATTGGTGACTGACGGCTGTTGAGTGGTAGAGGTATTCAAACCGGTGTTACAACTGTTAGTTTCGATAGTTAGGCACCCATTAGAGAGAAAACATAATAAGTGAACAATATAAAAATAAGTTGCTTACAAAGAAGAGAAGTGCAAGTATTATGGTTAAATCTACAATTCTATAAGTTTGTAATATCAATCATAATAATATTATATATTATTCTCTCCCTGACATAATAGTTGTTATAAAAACGACATTTTTCCCTTACTCTATGATGACAAAGCGAAAATTTCCATCAATAATAATCGTCTCACTACCTCTACAAATCTGGCGATAGCATCTGCAGCTATGGTGTAATGAGAACAAAATTAAAACAAACAAAATTCAAGCATTTCAAAATATTTTTCTAAGGAAGTTAACAATTAATTCACCTCCATAAGCCTTTAAGTTTTTTCTACATTCAGACATAAGACTAAAAACTATAAGCGACGAATCTAGATGCTACTATAAAAGATTCTACTTCCACAACCGCCTATGTACTCATTTCCATCCCTTTATAAAAAATTTAGTCTCCGTTACCATACCTATAATAATAAATGATACAATTTAAAAATTGTAAAATTACATTAATTTAATATTATTAATTTTTTCTTTATGGTGAACTTAAGCCTAACTAGCTAGTTAAGTAGTGACTATAATAGTTAAGAAGATGCTACACCCGCATGGGTGTCTGACTTAAAAATGTGCAACATAGCAAAAATTGTTTTGCGTGGGAAAGAACTGAGAAGACTAGAGTCATAAACTCATAACAGTCATAACTAAAGAAGAGAAGAAAAGAAACGAAATTGTTTAATTGTTACCACATAAAAAGGAGAACTTAAAATATCGTTTTTAATTTTTCGATGTCGGACTTATAAAAAAATGTATTCATGTTGGATGAACACGAAAATAATGAATTTTGAAAGAATAAGAACTTTTTTCGTGTAAGTGACATCAAAATATAAAAATAAAACGATATTGCTCAGACAACATTCACATCTCTATTTTATATCAATTTGGAGTATTATAAATATCAATTATACTACAAGGTTCTATCCTAGGCTAACAGTTTCTGCTATTTTGTACATTATTGATTTGTATCACATGTGGGTTATCACATATAAATGTAGCGTCCTCTTAGAAGTAACAAGTAAAAGTGAAATCGAATATTACCCTCTAGAAGTTCGTGATGGCATTATTACGATTTAAAGAAGTGAAGCCTCTCGTCGCTAAAAGAAATTTATTGTTATGAAGTGTTGCAAAGAGCCAAAGAATAATGTTGACTGTACCGGTGACTATAGTTTACGTGGAAAGGAATTATTTCTCGAAACTCAATTTAATTATTTTGTATTTGAGAACTTCGATTGAACAAGAAAAATGATCCGACCTTACAATGTTGCGTCTCCATTGAACAAGAAGTATCAAAATCAATAAATTATGAGGAAATCATCAATTACTTTTATCAGAACAAATAGAGGAAAAAATGTTTTTAGTTTTAGTAATATCTTCATATTTTAATCACCTATACTCTTTTAATGAGTAATTGATTTTTATTTCATACATATTTTAATCTGTAAATAATTTTGGTATTAAGTAGGTACCATATTTTATTTAAAAAAATATAAAAACTATCTAACATAATAATTATTTATTTTAAACTAAATATTTGTGCAATAAATTATTATGATAAACGCATAAAGCATTGTCCAGAGACAAACAATATTGCAAATTTTATCGCCCGAACTAATTTTTTACAAACTATATAATAATATAATGAGTTTTGTTTCAGATTTAGCAGATTTAGATCAATAATATTTTGATAATTTAGAGCAAATTAAAATTGAATCTTGAATAGTCATTAATCCATATTCTGCAATGTTTCATTGCTCATTATTACAATGACATAACGAACCAGGAGATAATTTTAAATATTTATGTAATTATCGTAAAAAATTAAGCATTGCAATATCATTTTTCGGTACAGTAATAATTATTGTTAATAAATGTAGGAACTAGCAAATACTTTTTTTTTTTTTTAAACAAAAAATGGTTTATAATACACATACAATTAAAATGTACTATAAAAACATACGCAATCGCATAGTAAAATAAATACATGATGGACTCGTACAGAATGATTGAATGTTCACAAAATAATATTTGAAACACGTAAAAAAGTAATTTCAAACAATGAATTATTCTGTGTAAAATCAAAGGTAGTTTAAATAATATTTTATAATACGATAATAAAATAATAACACACATTTTATTTGATTTTTTTCAAAAGAATTGATAAAATATAATTAAACGAAAAATGTGATAGAGGAAACACAATAATATAATATTTAATTAATATTTAAAAGATAATGAAATATATAAATTGGCGCTAGTTTAGAAAGTTTATCATTCAGGAGTCGAACAAAAGATAGCGATAGCACAAATCAAAATTCACGTAGGTATCAACAATCGAATTAATTTCATTTCGAATGCTCTGTATGGCTATTTTTAATTTTGTTTGTAATAAAAAAAAAAAAAAAACGACCATAACCTAAAAAATTCGAACAACAAGTCAACAAATCAACAAAAATATCGACACCGTTCCATACTTCCATGAGAACTCGTCTGCCGTCGGTTATACTCTTATAATTAACCGCGGTCCACGTGAATCATAAAGTGATGCGTTTGAATTTTTTTTTAACCGTCACGTTGCAACAGACAATTCAAACAGTGCAAACATCGTTCATCTGAGCGCCTGTCCGAGCCGTTATAGTAATACACCGAGGCAATTAACGTCGCCGTCGATTCGCGATAATGACGGATGCGATTACGGACCTGACGTCGTACCGGACGCTGGTGAAGTGTGCTCTAAGCCTCGGCTTACCCGGCAATCTAAAGGTCAGTTGCAGGTGGTTTTATAGTGTTGTAGTTACACATTTTGTAATGACAACAATAAATAATAATATTAATTATTGTAATCTTTGAAAACAAGACGCGACGATTAAGCACGACGTCGTTTGTGTTTAGTGTTAACTTATTATCGCGTAAAAACGTAGATAAAATATCATTATTCGTTATATCAATATTAATTAAGATGCATGTTATAAAGCGTACATGTATATATGTATATATATGTTCTCATGTCGCATGTATATAGGTATACGGCTGTCAGCAGCTGTACCGTACCGTCCGTACCCATCATGTTATGTGGGTCGTCCGCGATAACATGGCGGGCGGCGTGCGGTGCTTTTCCGGGATTTCCCGACGCCGTCCCGTGTATTTATAGAACGCGCTCGTCGCCGCAAACCGGTTTTGCGTCCGGCCCGTACGCACGAAAATTACAGGTAATCGGCAAACCGGCCAATGGTTGCCGAGCTAAAGGGACTTTTTGGCGGCAGACTCCGACCCGCCGCCACCGCCGCCGCATCATCATCCGTCGACGTTCGGACTTCGGTAGTTTGGTGCTTTATCGGCGTCCACCTCTTTGTCGGGGCCGCCACCGTCTCCACATTATTCCCGTTTCAGTCGCCGCCGTGCTTCGCGCCGAAGATCGTCGTCTCCCGCCGTTGTTCCCGTGATCCACGAATGGCATTATTATTATTATTATTATTATTCCAGCCAACGTTCGACGTGTTTTTCGCCTGCAGCGCCACTCTTATGTCGATTTCCTTTTGCGCCCACCTCGTCTGCTGTACGATTCCCATTAACGAACGCAATTCGATGTTTTGCAGAAAGACGAATACGTTGAGTTGTTGAGATTGCATCGAATGGGATWTCATTTCGAATGTAAAACGTTGGCGCACATTATGAAAACGAAAAGGCAGACTATGAAAAAAAACGGTACCAAGAAGCTGGTAAAAAAACGATGTGTCGGAAGACCTCGTAAATCAAAGATCAAATGTGATGAATTGTCATCAGAAACGTCATTGGAGAGTATAAAAATGCGTACACAAGTAGCTACAACTGTTCCAGTTGAGAAAGCTCGCTCGACTGCTAGACCGCCAAAGCCTAATTTTGAAGGTCATGTATGTATTTATGTTAATTTTCTAAAATATGATTATTTGTATCAGTGATAAACATCATACAGTATCAATATTTTACTGCCACCTATTAAATATTGGCGAGTATGATTCTTATCCTCATCTTTCTCTATTTTCTCAAGTGTTTGAAAACATCCTTTTTTTTTTTGTTTAATTTTCATAACTTAACTTCACAACTTTATAATATTAGGGAAAACAATTATTAACTGCCCATAAGTGATGGTTTTTTTTTTTTTGTAATTTTATTGATGAATACTCATTATTAATATTTTTATTAAATAAAATTTCAATGTTTCACATTTTTTTTTTCAAACTAATTTTCACTCACCAATAAACAGTTGGGAGGACCTACAATTTAAGTTGTTTTTAGAACATGTGATAAATGTATGCATTGCAACGTAACTGCCTGTTTGATCTTTATATTGTATGTTCCTACTTATTACAGTTTAATTTTTACTAGCAATTAATAATTTTACCATATTTTTGTATTAATGTCAATTAATTAAGTTAATTATATAGAATAAATCTGTATGGTTAATATTATTTTTAAATTTAGGTGTCCTCTTCTAGCTCTGTGGAAAACATTGTCTACCGACCTCCAATTGCAAAGACTACAAGTGTACTTTTAAGAAATATGTTGCTTTCAACAGATAGAACCAAGTTTAATAGATCTACAACAGATGCTAGTCTTAATATTTCAAACAATAACAATCCACATTGTAACTATTACCAGGTACAGATTTTTTTTAATTTGAATTTCCTAATAACTAACAAATCTCACAAAACTCACCATATTTACTTTCTCTAGTCTCCTTAAATGTTCCAGTCTGAACATCTTGCCATCCTGTTCCATTTTCACTTGTCATCTCCTCAACTAAAAATGAACCACTATGTTGTTATATGTATTTAGCTAATTTAGACCCTTCCTTCACACTAAACAATTTTTAATCTCTCTAAATATAATCTATTTATTGTATTAAATGTATTATTGAAATTGGGCAAAAGTCTGTGTTGTAAAATAATTAAATATTTCACTTGTCATCCACTAGCTAGGTTTTTTACTTTAGTTTATTATTGATTTTTTCTATGCAAAAACTGTAAAGCACTGACTTTATAGAGATCTTTTAAAAATCATGCCAGAAACAATGATATAAGTATTCCCATACATAAAATATTATTAAATTTATTATCTACCTAAATAAATCTGTAGGTTTTTGATTTTAACCAATATTTTATTTTCTGTTTATTTCAAAATGTCTGAAATATAATATAATATTTTAATATAACACTTTCAAATATGTTAAAATTTATATTTGATTTTGCATTATGACAAGATTTCTAAATTAAATTTACCATCACTTATCTAACATAATTATTAGTACTATCATGGTTAGATTATATGGCGTTCATAACAAATTGCTCAATTCATCTTCTTGTGGCATAAATTACAATTAACAAACCATTTAACCCGGGAATTTAACTGATGGATCGTTGTAAATGCAAGCCGCCATTAATTTTATTAATTAACTTAAAAATAATATGTTTTAGTTGGACAAATCAAAACCCTTAAATCTAGAAGTTTCGCATAGAGCTTTTGCTGAAAATTCATCCCGAGTAATTTGTGAATTTTAAAGAATTTATTGGTATTGTGGTTTATTGACAAAATTATGATGTTTATTTTTTAGATAAAGTGGAAAAATAACAATAAAAAGTTAAACATACCTACAAAAGAAATCAAATCTACTGTACCTGGAAATGGTTACCTATCTAACCTTCAAGTTTTTCCTGATATCCCGCAACTGGCTGATGTAGATATTAATGCGAGTTTAGAGATAGATAACTCTAACTACAGCGTGTAAAATTATATGAATAATTTATGTCGTATATTCACAATTTTAAATAATTGATTTTTTATAGAAATGATCAAACTGATACAGAAACAGTCCTATGTATTGATGATTCTGATACCTTGAGTAATGAGTCTGCAGAGAACATAGAAAAAGAACAACAAGAGTTTGATCAACGTTGGGCTATGTCAGTTCGTATGGAAAGTGGAGAAATGTCAACAGCGTTTTCTAACTGTGAAACATTTAATCCGTTAGATGATGTAATATTTCCACAAATGTTAATATCCAGAACAAAGCAAGAATTATTTTTGAGTTTGTTGCATTTTAGGTTTCTTTGTTAGGGCCACAAGATACAGCTTTAGTACAAAATGATGTTATCCAAAATTACATAGAGACAAATAATGTCCAATTCATGCAACTACCAGATTCTAGTTGTGAAGTGATTAGAACTTTGCAATACTACGAGTCAAGATTATTAACAAGTCCTTGGTCTTTTCCAGAACATGTAAAATAGAAATAAGTTTTATCTTTTTCATCTTAATTAAGAAAAGTAATTTCATAGTTTCAGAATCATAATAATGAGTCTATTTCAAATGAACAGACAGCGCAAGGCGAGCAATTAAATGCAACAGGATCAAACCACACTCTAGCAGAATTTGCAAATATGCTTCCTTGTCCAATTGCTGGTTGCTTGTGGTATTCACATTCTGCAACTTTATATGTTCATTTATTTACTGTAAGTAATTTTTATTTTTATTTTTTTTTCTTCTCAAGTGAAGTTAATAATATAGAATGTATTAATTGTTGTATTAATAGTGTCATCAAGAAATGATTTATTATGGAAATGTAATTTCACATGTCTTCAGATGTCAAGATATACAAAATTTCTGCTTTTTTACTCATTTACAATTCGTACAAAATACCATTTATATAATCACTGTTGCATTTGATAGCTATAGTCACACATATGTTGCCACCATTCAGGTACTAATATATTATGTATATTTCTTTGTAAAATCATCTCATATAAGATTAAACACAAGTATGCTTCTATACACTTAACTAGTTAAGGCTTGTCAAGTGTCTTGCTTACATTATTCTCACCACATAGCTTCCATTTTTCTTAAACAAAATAAAGTAGTTTTTTGATCATAGCTAATTGTTGGAAACATAATTCGAGCAGTGAGATCTTAAAAAACTAGACAAAAATTGTTAGTCACCTAAATTTAAACTTATATATCATAATATATTTAATAATTGTAATAATGATTTGCCTATTTTCAGCATGTTTCGTCGTATGGTGACAATACAAGTGTTTCACCAACTACAGCAATACTGACCACTAGTTCTCTACGTAACAATAATGATCAACATTCGTGGAGTGGCCCAGTACAGCCTTACAGTGTTCCACTGGATGTATTACATGCTGATGGTAGATGTTTATTCATTGATCCTACCAATCCTGAACAGATGATTATTAATGTTAACTTAACAGTGCCATTGATTTATTCAAACGATTCAATGTTTGCCTGCTTATAAGTATTATATTTGTATTCTTTATTATGCTTTATAGTATTTATACAGTACCAACAATGCTATATCAAGTTATTATGTTTTGCAGAACATTCTTGTTACATGTTTAATTGTTTGCTTTGTTGTTAATTTATAATTATTTAACTTTTTTTTGTTAGTAAGGAACAAACAGCTTAAGATAAAAATTACTATTAATTATTAGATGATTGGTATAAGAAATATTACCTATATATTGTTAGCATATGACACTATTGTGTCTCTTATACAAATGCTTAATTATTTTACTTTTTATTACAGTACATTACTTTATTTATGTTAATTTTCTCCCTACCATTTAAACATTTACAAAGAAAAATACAATTATTATGTAATTATAGGTGATTGAGTTGGATATCCATTTATAGTTTTGTMCCAATACTAAAATATTTGATTAAATTATTATTTATTTGTAAGTTTATAATTGATAATTTTATTTAATTGTATTGTTGACATCTTTCTGATAACAAATTTACTTTTTACATATGTGTAAATAATTAAAGTTTGAATTACCTCATCTAAGGTGTTGTAATTATATGATTCCAAATATGTTTGGTTAAAATTAGAAAACATTGGTTTAAAATGTATTATGTATTATTAAATATTGTTTATTATTTAAAACTTAATAATTATATAAGACATATTTATTTTTACTTAATAAAATATTTTTCTGTAATTACAGATAAACTTTGTATAATTAATTATTTTCATACACATTTAGTGTCCAACAATCTTCATGATTAATTTTTAGCCAAAGATTACCTTAAGGTTAGGTCTTAGGTGAAAATAAACCAAGATAATTGTTGACAATATCTTACACCTTTATCAATGAATAGGATCATGAATACAACATTGAGTGAAACTATTATTATTTGAAGTATCTACACGTGCAGGTACTTATTTATTATAATTATTGGTTGATTAATGATAGAGATAAGTATAAAAAAAGTATGTATGTTGAATACAAAATTATTAAAACTTACATGAGAACTCAAAGATTATAATGTGAACTTTATTAAATTTACTAAAACTCCTAGAATACCCAAAGATGTTAATTGGAATTCAAATTATTATTTAAACTTGTTTAGTGGAGCTTTGAGAGGAATTATTGACTATCGAGGGTGGTTACCTCAGATTTTCTCAAAATACTAACTAGAAACTGTACTAAAGCATCTGAAAAATGTTAAGTTCACCATGTCAATGCAAAGGTTTAGGTAGGTACTATATTTCTATAATATTATTACTTAACTACTAGGGCTTGAGTGTTGATGATTTATATTCGTCTTTTTTGAAACATACTCCATAGATGACAATGATTTCCTAGAATAGATTATGAATAAACAAATATATATGTCATTTTTTAAAGGCTTAGTGCATTTTTATTATTTATTTTTTAACTATTGAGAAAAAAATTACAAGTTACTTATTTATAATTATTATATTTTTATATTTCTCACCAATTAAATAATTAAATTTTTTCTACCTATTTCTTAATATATGCAACAATTTGAAACTTATCTAGATTAAAATTCGTTTTGAAATTTAAATCACGTAATAAATATTAAATTGTATAAATTGTAAAATTGTAAAATTATAATTAAAAATTTCAAAATTAACAGTTAGTTTTATGATTTTTGTTTAAGTATTTAAGTGACTGACACGCACATTTTCTAAGGCATTTTTTGCGTTTTTATGTCATGAATGCATATTTTTTACGCCTTTAACATCCTTTTTTTTTCCTTTTATATACCGGGAACGGGTAGGAACTGTTTAGCACAATACTGCCACCCGAACCCGTATCGTTTATTCACCTTGACAAATAACAACATACATAAAACATAACAGCTATACATACGTGGGGGCCTCTAACCACCCTAGGTATTTTGGCCTTCAGCCCACAAATTCAGTCACCATACTAATCGCGCCTGCCTGGCCCGCTCTGCATTCTCCTTCCGCCCGAGAATCGCCTCCACCATTCTGTCAAACGCCAACCTCTGTTCCTCCACCATCGCCTCGATGCGTCGCCTCCTGAATGCATCATCTGGGAGGAGCTCCTGCTCCGGCCCCAGGATGATATCCGGCACATCATTGGGTTGTAGTGGCCGGCCGACGCATTGCTCCATCTTCCGTCTGTCTTCTACCCAGAATGGACAGTTAAATAAGGTGTGCTCCACAGTGTCCTCCGGCTCTTCACAGTGCATGCAGTAGGGGTCAGCTGCCCTCCTCCTCTTCCACAGATAGTGCTGGTAGCATCCGTGACCCGTCAATGCATGGGCCATGTGAAATGTCATGGCTTCAACGCTTCAAGTCTTGACTGATACACCCACCTTCTGATGTCTGGAATCATCCTCGTCCACGCTGCCTTCGTCGTGTGGTCCCAAAACACCTGCCATTCGCGCAGTGTTGTCTCACGCTCCTGCCTCCTTATGACCGCCACCGTCGTGAGCTCTCACTTGCGCTCCTCGATTCTGCGTCGCTCATCGGCCAGCAGGTGGGCTGGAGGCATTCTAGCTAAGACCAGAGCTGCCATATCAGACACGGTCCTGTAGCACCTCGCAACCCTATAATAGCGGCACCTCTCCGAGCCTGACTGAGAGCTGTCCTATTCCGAGCCGTCTTTTCGCCTTTAACATCCTGGCCGTAGTTAATATAGTAGACTATTTTTGATAATAAATAATATATAGTAAATGTACACTAATAGTGAATATTGAAATAATTTATTAAAAATTATAAAAAACAAAATATTAGTTTCATATTTTTAAAGTCCTTTATTGAAATAGAATGTATCTGATTGGTTAGTAAATTGTTCGGTGACTTGATTATAAGCTTCTTTATCAAATTTCTCTAATGCACTCAATTTAACAGAACTATAAAGTGTAAAGTAAAGATACATAATATTACTACACGACTTCACTACACATTATAGTCGCATTATCCACTATTAATTATAAAAACAATTTACTTACCTAAATTGTGGAAATACAGCACATGCTGTTGGGAGCATACCAATGAGTCTGAGTAAACAAATTTAGATAAAATATTTTATTTATATACAAATAAGTTTTTTTTATTGAATAAATATAAAATAGGTATTCAAAATTAATATGACAAGTAAAGGTACAATATTCAATATGTATCGTTATTTTTTTTTTTAATTTGTTAAGATGTCAACAGTATAATGGAGATAGATCCCCCCAGCTTTTATATTCTGAACAGAGCAATCACTAAAATGATGTGATTTATTTTTGTTTTTTTTTTCGTGTACATACAAATATTAGTGCTTAAGAGGACGTAATACCCTTATGTGTTGTCATACATGCGGGTATCACGTTTTCTTAACACAATTTTCAACTTTAAGGATAATAGTGTCCAATAAGAAAATTGAAAGTACTTCAAACTTTTATATACATATATATTCGTATTATAAATTTTCACAAATTTTTATTAAATCTATACTTGTTATAATTTTAAAACATTTTTTTCTCCATAAATATCGATAAAAAAATGTTTGGTAGGACAAAAAAGCATAATTTAATGCAAGGTTGCAAAGTTTTTTAATGCTAAGTTGTTTCAGTTATTAGCAGTTGGAAGATATTAAGTAGGCAGTTTTTTTTAACATAGATATGTCAGTTGCAAGACCGTACCTGATAAAAACTTCGTGGGGGCTCCAAAATTTTTCAATGTGGATATTAAACATTTATCGTTTTTATGTTCAAAATGTAAAAACTAGTTTTATTTTTAGACATCGGTAGGGAGAGTGTTCGGATATCTAAACACACCATTCGTACTCAAGTTACGACGTTGTTAAACGCTACAATATTTTGATATCACACAAAACAGTCGATAGTTAATATAATTAGAGTATATT